AAGTCATGATTAAATACAAAAGAAGGATTGAAGCATAATACATTTTAGGATACCAACCAGACAGGTAATCAAACTGGCAAAGCAAAATCCCCCCCACCCCAAAGCAAATGAAAGATGCAGACTATATTCTCAAGCTGGGGTATAGGAGCAGCGCGTTGTGGTTCGGGTATGTGTCTGGCAAGAGTTATGTATCTTACATCCAGCTTCTTCAGCTCGGCGATGTGCATGGATAACAACTGCATGGGAATCACTGTGAGGACTCCTTGGAGGCAGTCGATTGACTTGGGAACTTCCAGAGCTCTCGGCTTCTTCGCAGGTTTTATTTGTTTGCTAGTGTTTGTGTGTGCTTGATCTCCGTTTATATGGTCTTTATCGCCGTTGATAATTGGTTTCTTGTTGTAGGTTTCGCCTGTCAGAAACTCTGCGTCACCATAGTTACAGATCACAATCGGAATTCCCTATAACAGACATGCATCTAATTAAAACAGGCAAATACTGAGCACCAATAATTAATTTTCTAATATTATTATTTTCATTATAATAATTGAGATACCATCGGAACTGGAAAGCTGTGATGGCTGCCAAAGATTTGGAATAAAGCGCTGAGGGGATGTCCCAAGCACAATGTTGTCAGTTCTTGAATCCAACTCACCTCTTTTACTAAAGGGTGAAGGCAGTCCCACAACCCATATGGCTTTTGCTGTGTGACGTGTTAAGCCTAATTATGAAGAGGGCTGTCTGTAATCACATAAAGAGCTTCATAGTGGAAACTTTATCATGCCTCTCTGTGATCATCTAAAGAGTTGCATAGTGGAAACATGCCTCTCTGTGATCATCTAAAGAGCTGCATAGTGGAAACTTATCATGCCTCTCTGTGATCACATAAAGAGCTTTATAGTGGAAACTTATCATGCCTCTCTGTGATCATCTAAAGAGCTTCATAGTGAAAACTTTATCATGCATCTCTGTGATCATATAAAGAGCTTTATAGTGGAAACTTATCATGCCTCAATGTGATCATCTACAGAGCTTCATAGTGGAAACTTATCATGCCTCTCTGTGATCATATAAAGAGCTTCATAGTGGAAACTTTATCATGCATCTCTGTGATCATATAAAGAGCTTTATAGTGGAAACTTATCATGCCTCAATGTGATCATCTACAGGTCTTCATAGTGGAAACTTATCATGCCTTTCTGTGATCATATAAAGAGCTTCATAGTGGAAACTTAATCATGCCTCTGTGAACATATAGAGATTCATTTAGGAAATTTATCATGCCAGTCTGTGATCATATAAATAGATTCATTTAGGAAATTTATCATCCATTATATCGAAATAATTGTACAGGACAGAATGGAAAGGAAAACTAGACGGAGAGACCTATAGGACATATAACAGGATGATGATGATGATGGATTCCTGTGTGGGTTCCGGAGCCCTATTAAAAGGAAAACAAGAATAGACCCACTGCCAACCCAAAAGCATGTTTAAGAGCCGACTAATTGGCAGCTTCCTTCAAGGTCGGAGTGCATCTGCCTGAGAGGCAAGGAACCAACAGTACGCATACAAATTAGTCAGATTTGTCAAACAGATGCAAACACAACACTCAGGCTCTGGAACAGGACTGCAGTCCAGTCTATTAACGTTAAACTATGCAACCCACTTGCTTCTTCTTCTTCTTCTTCACCTGTTGAAGATTAATTTAAATGTTAAATGGCATTTATGTTTGATCTGTTTGCAACACTGTCTCAATATCTGAGCCATTTGTATGGATACACTGGTTTGCTTTACTTGTTGGCCAGGATAGCCTTGCCAAGTGGCAATAGGCCATTAGGGGTTCCAGGGCCACATTTTGGGGAAAATCAGAAACAGACCCACTGTCTCTTAACTGGCATGTCATAAAAGGCGGGAAATTACAGATCTATAGTATCAGATGTGTTTGACTGAAAGATGCAGATATTGCAGTTTAGCTATAAACCACAAAATGTACCAACCACCCTTTTAAGGGCAAACAGAAGAATAGGAATATTTTAATTATTGAAACTATTCTTCTTCCTCTCCGCGTTCACCAGCTGTACACTCTGGCGTAAAGTTCTGGTTGTTCGTCCACTTCTGGACTGCAGTCCTGCTCCAGAACCTGAGTGTTGCGTGTGCATCAGTTTTACAGATCTGATTCAATTGAATGCAGACTGCTGGTTCCTTGCTCTCAGGCAGATGCACTCCGACTTCAAAGGAATCTCCCCAGTTAGTCGACTCTTACGACATGCTTTTGGGGAGGCAGTGGGTCTATTCTTGTTTTCCCCACAAAAGGGCCCCGGAACCCACACGGGGGATTGAAACTATTGACATTATGCCTGTTTACAGCTAGGCCGGGATATTTGAGCCTTTGGCCCAATACACTGGGACGCTTACCAGCATCTAATGGCCAGTATATAGCCTTGCCAGGTAGAAACAGACAAACTATGCCAGTTGAGAAAAATCGTTCACGAACAAAAGTGTTAGCCACAATCATCAGTACTTACACGTCTGGCCTTCACTTGTTGCAAGGCATTCTCACATTTCTGAGGGGAAGAACGAAGAGCAAAAACATATCTTAAATTCATGCACATTCTTTCTATAGGCAGTCGCTGTGGTGTTGGCAGCTAGACGCCTGCCTGCGGATTGGAAGGTTGTGGGTTCGCGTCCTGACGAAGCCGGACTTTAAAAAAAAACAAGACCTTGACCCCCAGCCTTGAGTGGGTACCAGGTGCAGTCCTGGGAAGTAAAGGCGGCCGGCGTGATGCTAACCACATCACCCCTCCACCAAGTGCCGACTGGTCTATAAAAATATAGGTCTAGCCCTATATCCCCAATATGCCTTAGGGCGCGGAAAAGTGACCTTTATTTACTTGATTTTTCTTGTCCTAAATGCCCAATATCCGCCTAAAGGTGTGAAAATGGGTCCTTTACTTTACTTACCTATTCACATTCTTTTCCCTATGGGTTCTCTGCTTCAATGGAGGGATGAAAGAATAGACCCATCAAACCCCTAACAAGTATGTGGTAATGATAGACTAATCAGGGGTGTTTCCTTTCAGAGTGCATCAGCCTGACGGGTGGGGAACCAACAGTCTGCATACACACATGGCAGATCTGTCAAATGCATGTGCACACAAAATTCAAGTTCTGGAAGAAGACTAAGGTCCAGAAGTGGATGAACAAACCAGGACTTTCCACCGGAGTTTACAGCTGGTTAACGCCAAGAATACCAGAAAAAAGAATCACATTCTCACAAAAATATTTTAATATTCTTTTGTTTTTTGTTTTGTTCTTTTTTTCTTTCTTCTCACACATATAGTTGAATACTAGCTTCTTCTTCACCTTTTGTCCTTTATCCATTCCCATGTTATGTTAGTTAATTAGTTGGGTTATCATTGCACTCTGGACATGTCCATAGGTGCTCAGATCCTCCCCTCAGTATGAACCTAAACGTCCGATGGCTAATAGTACCAGTTCTATGTTGATTAACAAGTCTTCTGGTGTGTCTGGTATGCGTCTCGTTTTTTGCTATGCTGATCCTAATTCCCAAGTCTGCCAGTCTGGCGAGTGATGTGGATTCACTGTGTCCAAAGTCCTCTATCCTTCCCATTTCTCTAAGGGCATTAATAATATCAGCATGATCCATAGGCTGACCGTCGGCAGTGATAGCTGATCTTGCCAACCTGTCAGCTCTTTCATTTCCATCGATGCCTGCCTGACCCATGTTATGTTATCACAACTGATGTCACTGCACATCAGGCATTCCCATGAGTGCTCAGTCCTCTAATACAGCAGCCAACCCAAGGTGCCACTACTGTGTGTTCCCATGAGGAGCTAATTACAATATCTCCTGACCTGACCATAAAGATGGCACTGATGTGCTTCATTCCCAGGTAATGTGATCATGTTACCATCAAAGATTTATCGATAACAGCCAGTCTAGTCCACTGGAGCATACTGCTACCTGTATAGATGTTTTCAATATTCTATACAACATAAATTGTATACATCATCATCAAAATTCCCTGTGTTGGTTCGGGTCCCCTATTGTAAGGGGGGGGGGGGGGGGAGGAAAGGACAGGCAAGCCTCTTAACAAGCATGTCGTAAGAGTCAACTAATTAAGAATGTTTCCTTTTGAATTGGAATGCATCTGTCTGAGAGGCAAGGAACCAACAGTCTGCACACAAATAAGCCATATATGTAAAATGGATGTGCCCACAAAACTCAGATTCAGGAGCAAGACTAGAGTTTAGAAGTGGACAAACAGCCAGAACTTTCATCAGAGTTTACAGCCAGTGAACATGAAGAAGACGATCATCAACAAATCAGCCTCCTTTTTTCCAAAAGCATGCCCCTCTCCCACACACACAGACACAGGCAGGCACACATGCGCACGCACTCACACCCTTATCCTGAACAACACGTCCTCATATCAATTCTAAAGAGTTCCAGACATCCACAAGTGGCAGCCACTCATTAGACACTCATCCATTTTGAACTTTTAAAAAGTGGACTTACGTAAAATGACCAGAACAGAAATAATAACCAATTCAAGCTTTAATACTCTTTTTCTTCTTCGCACTCACCGGCTGTAAACTCCGGCTGAAAGTTCTGGTAGTTTATCACCCTCTGGAATTTAGTCTTGTTCTAGAATCTGATTGTTGCATGTACATCTGTTTTACATAATCTTACTTATTTGTATGCAGACTGCTGATTCCTTGCCTCATAGGCAGATGCACTCCGACTTGGAAGGAAAAGCTTAATAGCGATACTTGCTTCAAAACATTTGGCATGTTTCGACTACAGGTGATCTGACAACAGACTGCTTTGCGCTGATATCAAGAATGGTAGATAGTGCAGACTGTTCAGAAGGCACTGGCAGATTACTTCCTAGTAAAACCCCACAGAACCAATAAATGCTGAGTTGAGATGCAAAGTCCTGGAAAGGATACGCAGATCATTTTTAACTGATACTTACAGAAAACACATTGTCTCGGGTGCAGACCATCAAGACAGGCATTGCCTCATCAACCAGAGCCAGCGGACCATGTTTCAGCTCACCAGCTAAGATGCCTTCTGAATGCATGTAGGTCAGCTCTTTAATTTTCTGCAAAAGTCATACAAGTGTTGTTCAATCTAATACTCTCTGTGTGGGTGGGTGGGGGGATGGGGTATGTGGGGGGGGGGGGATGCCACCCCCCCCCCCCCCCCCCAACAAGCATGTTGTAAAGTTGACTAATCAGGGGTTTTTCCTTTTAAGTCAAGAGTGCATTTGCTTAAGAGGAAAGGGAAACAACAGACTGCCTACAAATAAGCCATATTTGTCTTCTTCTTCTTCACTGGCTGTAAACTCCAGCGGAAAGTTCTGGTTGTTTGTCCCCTTCTAGACTGCAGTCCTCTTTTAGAACCTGAGTGTTGCGTATGCATGTTTGACAGGTCTGACTCATCTGTATGCAGACTGTTGGTTCCTTGCCTCTCAGGCAGATGCACTCCGACTTGAAGGAAGCTCCCAATTAGTTGACTCTAACAATATGCTTTTGGGTAGGCAGGGGGTCTTTTCTTGTTTTCCCTATAACAGGGCCCCAGAACCCACACAGGGGAGTCATACTTGTAAAAAAGATGTGGACGCAAAACTGTGGAACAAGACTAAAGTCCACTAATGGATAAACAAATACAATTTCCCACTAGAGTTTACATCTGGTGAATGCCAAGAAGAAGAAGAAGAAGAAGAAGAAGGAAAATCTAGGACAGTTCTGCTTCTTGAGAGATGAAGTATAAATGTGAAGAAAGAATGTCAGTCTGCTTAAAATTAATACCCCCCAAGCTGTACACAGAGACAGGTCTAGAAATATAGACAACAAAGGGAAATAAAAAAAAAAAATTTAATAACAAAGGGAAATTTAAAAAAAAAAAAAAATAATTAAAAAAATTACATTGTTTACTAGGAGTAATTGCCATTAATATCACCATAGATAAACTTGCTAAGAAAGGGAGAGAATGTGAATAGGAAGACGATGCAGTTATCATACTTTGAGAAGAAGAAAAAAACGGCCATCCAGTCTGTCGGAAGTGAAGAGAATCTGGCCAGAGACAACTACCACTTACTTGACCGGCATGGACAGGTCATCATTCTATGCCTCAGGACAGGACATAACAAACTTAACAAGCGTATGCATATGTTTCATCTAAGCAGGTCACAACTGTGCCCATTGTACCTGAGTCCACCAACATAAAAATAGATAACATCAAAACCAAAAGAACAGAAATATACAAGTATTTGTATACAAACTTAAACTGCTCCCACATACTAAGAGAAGAAATGCAATCTAGAATACAATCTGAAAATAAAGTATACTATGTCCTACAATATTAGCTAAATTCAAATGCTTTACCTCACAACACAAAGAACACATTAAATGAAATATTAATAAGACGAGTTGTCTTATAAGGCACAAAAGCATGGTTCATTACAAAGTTTTGAAAACACAGTCAGGACAAATCTTAGGACGCATCAAAGATGCTAATAGCAGGAAATGGAGAGTGAGAAGCAAGAAAGAAATTAATAATTTGTTTAAATCACAAATGATCGCTGACATCATGCGGGTTGATAGACTGAAACGGCTAGGGCGTAAAGAGAGAATGGAAGATGACAGAAAGCTGAATGACCATAGACCATCAGGCGATAAACAAGACACTTAAGAAAACCTGAGAACACAACTAGAATGTCTTTGCACTGGAACACAGGAGCACAGAAAAAAGGTAGACCAAAAAACACACAGAGAAGGGAACTAGAGAGTAAAGTTAAAAAGTTGGGGAGGACATGAGGTGAGCTGCATGCAAAGGCAAAAGATAGAACGGCTTGGCGTGAGTTGGTTGAGGACCTACGCCTCTTTGGGGGATAGAAGGCAGAATAAGAAGATGAGGCAGACCAAGAAGTTGTGGAGAGCTAATATCTAGACAGACCTACAAACACTGGCAGTCACCAATAGTAAAGAGAGGGCCAATCACAGAGATGAAATGAATTGAGATGGGTGAAATCTGCAGAAACGAACCTCAAGGGCTCGGAATACTGAAGAAGAAGAAGTATATTCCCGATCTCATTATGGGGAAAACAAGAACAGACCCCCCTGTCTAAGCAAAAGCATGTTGTACAAGTCAACAAATTGACAGCTTCGTTCAAAAATGAAGTTCATCTGCCTGAGATGCAAGGAACCAACAGTCTGCATACAAATGAGTCAGGCCTGTAAAACAGATGTGCACGCAACACTCAGGTTCTAGAACAGAACTACAGCCTAGAAGTGGACGAACAGCCAGACCTTTTCAGCAGAGTTTACAGCTGGTGAATGTGATGAAGAAAAAGAACAAGACGTACAAAAAAAAAACATGATCATACCAAAGCACCCTCAAGACAAGTGGCATAGTTGAAGCCCCTGCCCATGACCAGCAACGACTTCTCTTCATGAAGCTCTTTTGCCAGTTCCAGGATCTCCTTGTCCATGGTCAACACAGTCTTGATTTGTTCTGGGAAAAAAACCACAGTATTCAAGTAATTCTTTCTTTGCTGGAAACAAATAACTACTGTTTATCTAGGTACACTCAATCAATTAGCATGTCCTTTGTAGAAGGTTGCTCTCTTCACGGCATGCCTGAAAGTCTTTCTCTTTCCAATTATTTAGCCCTGTGTGCTTTTACTGCATATTTTCTTTGAAGTCAGAGTACATCTGCCTGAGAGGCGAGGAACTAAAATCTACATACAATTAAGTCAGACCTTGAAAATGGATTTGCATGCAAAACTCAAGTTCTAAGACCAAACTAAAGTCCAGAAGTGAATCAACAACCAGAACTTTCTGAAAGAGTTTACAGGTGAAGAAGAAGAAGAAGACATCTCTAAAGAAAACTACTAAAGGAACTAACACACTTCACTGATTTACCTGGAAGCTCCTTCAAGCCTTGAATGATTTCCTTACGTCTGTTCTGGAGGGAGATCCTGTCTTCACTCATCATCAGTCCAAACAAGACTAGGGCGATAAACTGACTGGTATAAGCCTAGAAAACAAACACAGGATACAAAATCTCAAGTGACGCCCATAAACAAAACGATTATCATCCCTGTGAGGGTTCCGGGGCCCTATTATAGGGAAAACAAGAATAGACCCACTGCCTACCCAAAAGCATGTTGTAAAAGTCTACTAATTGGGAGCTTCCTTCAAAGTTGGAGTGCATCTGCCTGAGAGGCAAGGAACCAGCAGTCTGCACACAAATTAGTCAAATCTGTAAAATGGATGCACACGCAACACTCAGGTTTTGGAACAGGACTGCAGTCCAGAAGTGGATGAACAACCAGAACTTTCCGCCAGAGTTTACAGCTGGTGACCGCGAAGAAGAAGAAAAGGATTATCATATTTGTCTGTTTATAAGACACACTTTCTTGTTCTCAAAATAGGCCTTAAGTTTAGGCTGCGGCTTATACAATGAAGGTAGACCCACATGTGCCGTTATTTTTCATAGTTGTCCGTGATACCGAGAAAAAGCTAGTAAATGGCATTTCTACTCCACACTCCTGGTGTTAAATATGATGAAAAATATGGCTATAGGTCAGTTGCAGTCGTCCCCATGTGGGATGCAATTTTTTTTTCTGAAGCCCTACCCTGGCTTCTGTTGGGGGGCCCTGAATAAAGCCTGGGCATAGATATGGCCTAACGGCTGAAAGGTGTATCTAGGACCTCTCCACGAGTGATCCTCATCCGCATGGTGGCACTTTGTGTCACCGGGTGTTTATCGCTTGTGTGATGTCCTGGTGGGGTACAACTACCTACCTACCACAGATTAGTGAAACATCATTTAGGACCTCTGACAAATAAAAATGAACAAAGGAAAGCGTGCACAACATGGACAAAATCCAAAAGGGAGGGAATCAGAATATATATAATAATATATTGAAATGGGTGCAAGAATAAAATTCAAGTTTTTTCCTGGAAAATTTCCTTCAATATTTGGGGTGCCTCATACAATGAAGCGTCTTATACACTGATGTGCTCGTGTGGGTTCCGGGGCCCTACTGTGTGGAAAACGAGAACAGACCCACTGCCTCCCCAACAAGCATGTTGAAGGAGTCAACTAATTGGGGGCTTCCTTCAAAGTCGGAGTACATCTGCCTAAGAGGCAAGAAACCATGAGTCTGCATACAAATAAGCCACGTGTGTGAAACACAGGACAGAACCAAATGGAAGTGTAGAATGTGAGCCCTAAGTGATGTATAACACAACAGGATGATGATGATGAAAAGAAAAAGCTTCATGTGTTCTGAGACCCCGTTGTTGGACAGACAAAGAATACCCACTGCACCCCTATCAAGCATGCCATTAAAGTAAACTATTCAGGGTCTTTTCTTCAGAGTCCGACTCATAATACCAACATACCACGATCAAAACCCATTGCTGGCTGTGAGGATTTTTATCAAGGTACGTTGCCTCACAGGTCGACCCAGCCTAAAATGGGTACCAAGATGACTGTCCTGGGGAAGTAAAGATGGCCGGCGTAATGCTGACCACATTACTCACCTAGTTCCGATGGTCTGTACAAATATGGGCGCTCTTCCCATAGGCCCGATTCGCCTAAAGGCGTGAAAAGGGATCTTTACTTACTTATCTCCAAAGTCACAGTGCATCTGCTCGAGAGATAAGGAACCAACAGTCTGCATACAAACAAGATAGATCTGTAAATGGGTGTGTATGCAAAATCAAGTTCTGGAAAAAAAGACCAAAGCCCAGAAGTGGAAGGCAACCAGAACTTTCCCCCATAATTTACAGTCGGTGAAGGCTAAGAAGAAAAAGATAAAGAAGAAGAAGAAGAAAAAGATAAAGAAGAAGAAGAAGAAAAATATCCACAAGCCTCACAGGCAGAGGGTGGAGTATCTAATGAGCAAATCAACTGCGTTACATGAAGTCATGATAATCAGGGATGGAAAAAAGTAATGAGCAGACGGACAATTTTCGAACAGGTCCTCATGAGGATACTTTAACCACAATAGTTAGGATAATCTGCCCGGAATGTGTACTGTCTTTGGAAAGACATTTCAACCTACTTCGTAATTACGCAAAGCAATTAGTTTATGAACATAATTATTCAACTATTGAATAACATCAAAAAGAGGCAGGAAGTGTCTCATTAGTAGGGATCTGATTACACTACATCAATGTTTATCCAATATGCCTCAATGGACAGCAACGGGACTGTCACTTCTACTTCCATCTGTTGAATAATAAAAACAACATTTCTACAATGAATTCTAACTGTTATGAGAATGGAGGTGGAGGCGGTAACTGCAGCTCTCTGGTGGTAAGAGAACAAGATGCATACTTATGTTATAATTGTAACAGACTGTGAAAGCCTGCTGAGAAAGCTGAAGACAGGGATGCTTCGAGCAGAGTGGCAAGCTTCACTGGGAAGGTCACGGATAGTGAGCATACTTTGGATCTTTTCTCCAGGCTATGCCGGTGTAGTGGGTAATGAACAGGCAGACAGACTGGCTGGATCTGCAACACTGGATGGTGAATTGATACATGACAAGGCAGATGTGGTCAAGGCCCTTTGGGAACAAGCAACGGAATCAGTAGAGAAACAAGATTATTATGGCCTGGAGAGAATGAAGCACCTGAGTGTGATCAGACGGTCTGGCCGGCTCACTATACTTAGAGGAAAGGCAAGATGAACATATAACCAGATTGTGACTGGTACCATCAGTACTGAAACTCTTCGCTGGCTGCTGAAGATGAGGACGGAGCAGGCATGGGAATGCCCCGAGTGCTGTGATGTCAATTCTTGACCCAACTCAACTCCTAACTGTAACCAGAAGAGATAGGATCAGAAAGGGCAATACCAGGATCAGGAAAGTAGTTAGGACCGAACCAGTGCTAAACTCTTCTTTCGTTAGCTTGAAATAAATTACCTATATCTGCAATGGTGTCTTTAGTATGAACTTCACTGTCTTTAGCAATTCACATAAAGTTTGGCTTCCACCAGTGTCTCTCTTGGCCAGAAGTTTTGCCTGGAAATGTATGGGGGGACAATCTTGGAGGATGTCATTTGTTGCCTCAGCTGCCAGTCCGTATGGCTGATTTGCCAATCTTAAATTTTGCGTACATGTGACTGCAAAGTCTCCTGTGTCTTGTTCTAAGGCGTAGAATAGCGACCTGCTCTGGTCTGTCCATAATATGGTAATCGTCTCGTGCCAGTTTTAGTGGCTTTCTGATTGATTTGGTGTTTCTCTTCTTCTGTTGAGTTTTAAACTAAAGAAACACTAGATTAAATAAATGGTTTGGACGTGTCAAGACTACCACCAGATAGTGCATCCAGGACTTTCCGCTGTCCAGCCAGTGACTACAAACAAACAACAAACATCCACACACACAACAATAATATATGGCCAAAGAAGAAGAATCCTCGAGCGGAAGTGTTTCAGATCCGACCATCCAGGATACTCACTTTAGTGGATGCCACACCAATCTCCGGCCCAGCATTGATGTGAACTCCACAGTTGGACTCTCTAGAGATGCTGGAGCCCACAACATTGGTGATACCCACAATGAGAGCTCCTCTCTGCTTGCAGTAGTGAAGGGCATTCAGTGTGTCCGCAGTCTCACCTGGTACACAGATGAAGGGGAAAAAACCTCAACTCAACAACAAAGATCTCCCTGTTTGGGTTTCCAAGATGTTTGAAACAAAGCATGCTGCAGAAGCTGCTCAATAAGTAATGCAGTGCTCTATCTGCTGGTCAGAGCTTCACTCCTACATCAGCTGCCAAAAAAGCCATAACTGACTGCTGGACTTTCTACCCCACCAGGACATCACACAAGCGATAAACACCCGATGATACAATGTGCCACCATGTGGATGAGAATCACCGTGGAGAGGTCCCAGAAACCGCATTCAGCCATTTGGCCATAATTATGGCCCCTTGCAAGAGCCAGGGTGGGGCTTCGAAATAACGAAAAATTGCATCTCACAAGGAAATGACGGTAGTGTTACACCAAAGCTATGGGCGTGGTTGGCCCTAATAATCAATTAAATATGCTGAATTTTTTTCCTGTGATCTTGTTATTTCCCTAAATTACTGCAGAACTTTAGAAAAAGGAACCTGAAAGTAAGAAATGTTGATAGACGAATCAGTAATCAATGGATAATAATCTCTTTAATATTGCTTCCCATTTTTGAATTTCTAGAACTGTAAACAATTTCTTTTACCATATACATTACTATTAATTAATTTTCACAGCTCTATCCCCTTTGCGTAAGTGTATGTGTTGGCGGGTGTGCATGCATGCGCGCACACGCGTGTGTATGTATCTGCATGTGTGCGGGCATGTGTGTGTGTGTGTGTTTATGTGTGTGTTTATGTGTGTGTGAGAGAGACACAGAGAGAGAAAGAGACAGAGAAAGAGAGAGAGAGAGAAAGAGAGAGAGAGAGAGCATAATGTTTAGTGTACAGAAAGCACTTTTTTAAAATGATAAAATGTTTGGTGAACAGAAATTTTTTGTAAGTTTTTGTGTTTTTGTGTTGTTAAATGATTTTTTTTTAAAAGATGTATGGATGTCTTTCCTTATATGACTCCCTGGCTTAAAGATTAGTGAACGCCCCTAACAATGTCATGATCCTCGAGTACTAGGGTTCGTTTCCTGTGGTGAAGGGTAAAAAAAAATATTTGTCTGGTTTTTCTGGCTTACAAATAAGTCAGATCTGAAAAATGGATGCGCATGCAACACTCAGGTTCTACAGTCCAGAAGTAGACAAACAACCAGAACTTTCCGCCGAAGTTTACAGCCGGTGAATGCGAAGAAGAAAAAAAGATAAGATCAACTCATAAAACGGATTAGAAATATCACACACAGAGGTTTCCATCTTCCTTAAACACAGGGAAGAGGAGAAGAAGAAGAGGAGGAAGAAGAAGATTTTTGGAAACTCCTTGTTTTCTCTGATCCTAGCTGCAACTGACCTGACTGGCTGATGAAGAAGCAAACATCATCTCTGAATATTGGAGTGTTCCTGTCCAGAAAGTCACTAGCCAATTCCACCATCACAGGCAGCTCTGTCAGTTCTTCCAGCAGCTGCCGGGTCTGTAACCAGAACAACGGCATTCCATTAAATACTGAACATGATATTAGTAGAACAATGGCATTCTGATCAAATACTAAACATGTCATTAGTAGAAAAATAGCTTTCATTCAAATACTGAACATGTCATTAGCAGAACAATGGCAGAATGTCAACTACTGAACATGTCATTAGTAAAACAAATGCATTCTATCAAATACTCAACAAGTCATTAGTAGAACAATGGTAGCATATCAACTACTGAACATGTCATTAGTAGAACAATGACAGCATGTTAAATACTCAACATGTCATTAGTAGAACAATGGCAGCATGTTTACTGAACATGTCATTAGTAGAACAATGGCAGCATGTTAAATACTCAACATGTCATTAGTAGAACAATGGCAGCATGTTTACTGAACATGTCATTAGTAGAACAATGACAGCATGTTAAATACTCAACATGTCATTAGTAGAACAATGGCAGCATGTTTACTGAACATGTCATTAGAAGAACAATGGCAGCATGTTAACTACTGAATATGTCATTAGAGAACAATGGCAGCATGTCAACTACTGAATATGTCATTAGTAGAACAATGGCAGCATGTCAACTATTGAATATGTCATTAGAGAACAATGGCAGCATGTCAACTACTGAATATGTCATTAGTAGAACAATGGCAGCATGTCAACTACTGAATATGTCATTAGTAGAACAATGACAGCATGTTAAATACTCAACAAGTCATTAGTAGAACAATGACAGCATGTTAACTACTAAATATGTCATTAGAGAACAATGGCAGCATGTCAACTACTGAATATGCTGCTGGTAGAACAAAGGCAGTCTGTCTAATGCTGAACATGTCACTGGAATACTGGTAACAATGGTCCTGGAATACTATGCTTCAACTGCTAAAGAATTTTTTTAATGTGAGCAGATCTTGCCAGCCACTTGCATCATCACTACAGCTGGTCATGCCCAAGCCTCACAACAGCACTCTGAGACATTATTGTTTGGTAAGATGGGAAGGTGCCAGTGTTGGAATAAAGACAGTGTCAAATATTGAACATATCATTATGAACACTGGTACACACAAAGAACAGCCAATCAATTATTGGAATATAATGAACAGCCGCTCACAAATTAGTTCACAAAAAGATCAGCCAATCATAAATGAGTACACAAAAAGAACAGCCAATCACAAATTAGTAGACAAAAAGATCAGCCAATCACAAATTAGTACACACAAAGAACAGCCTATCACAAATTAGTACACACAAAGAACAGCCAATCACAAATTAGTACACAAAAATATCAGCCAAATCACAAATTTGTACACACAAAAAGCAGCCAACACAAATTAGTAAACACAAAGAACAGATGCTGTGCTACCTGAGACAGAAAATGTAAAGCAACAAAATATAACGAAGAAGACTCACGGCCACAGCACTGTGGTAGCTGGTACCGCAGGCTATAAACAGGAGCCGCCTGCAGCGTCGAATTTCATTCATGTAGTCCTTGATGCCACCAAGAACCACAGTCCCTGATTCAAAGTTCACCCTGCCTCTCATGGTGTTCACCACTGACTCTGGCTGCTCAAAAATTTCCTTCTGCATGAAGGAGTTGAAGCTTCCTGTTGAAACGTACACAGTAATCATAAATCATCATTATAAGTATACAATCCCCATATGGGTTCCGGGATCCCATTGGGGGGAGAGAGAGGGGGGGGGGAGGGAGGTTATTAACCCACTACACCCTTATGAGCAGATCATGGAAGGTGACTATTTAGAAGTTTGCAGAAATTGGATGTGTTTGGCCGAAAGGAGTAAATACTGCAGCCGAGCTGTAAAACGTCGCACATATGTGATCAGACTTTTTAGAAGTGAACAATGAAACAGAAGAAGAAAAAGTAAGTGATGTAGAAGAAGAAGTAGATGAAGAAAGTAAAGAAGAAGAAGAAGAAGAAGAAAATATTTAAAAAAAAAAGATTGGTTTGGTTTGGTTAATACAACGGACCAACATCATGGCACAAAGGTAGTAACCTATAAGTGCTCCGTCCTTCTTTTAACTCAAGCCTGAGTCCGAAGAATCTCAGCTCAGTGCACGAACTCCGTTGCACCAGGAAGGATTCTGAAATACTTTGGGTAGATTTTTAACTCCAAATTTTGCCCGGGCAGTGCTGTTAAGCTACTCTTTTCAACTTCCAACTGCCAAGGAATTTTTGTATGTGCCCAACAATACACACGCGCTTCTGATCTTACTACCCTGAGACCAGGGGAAATAACTAGAAGTTCACGTGGAAAAATCCCAGCCTTCACTGGGGCCTGAACCCGGGACCTCCAGCACTCGAGGTAAACGTCATGCCTTGAGACTATGTCTCCGAGGGAGAAGATGATGATGATGTCGCTGCTGACACAAGGCATTCACAAGTAATCTCCATTTCTGCTGGTCTGCTGTTTTTCAGCTTATGGTATCCCATGTCATTCTGCATTCTATCAATTCCCTTTCAACTATCCTTCTCCAGGTCACCTTAGATTGTCTACGTCTTCTTTTTCCATCTGCTGTCCATCGAAGAGCTTTCCCTGCCAGAGTGTCACAAGGCATTTGGCAAGCATGTCCAATCCATCTCCACCTTATTTCTTTGATAATGTCTGCCAGTTCTTCGTTTGTGATTTCGTTTGGCCAAAATATTTGCAGGATTGATCTCAGACATTTATGGTTTGAAAAATCTTAGTTTATGTGTAATTCCCACCGTCATTTTCCAAAACCCAGTCGCATTATAGTATTCCAAAAGTGTTGCTTCTGTATAAACTGAGTTTTGTGTATGTGGGGGGAAGTAAAGTTCCCTTTTCTACGCCTTTAGGCGTATAGGGCATATAGGGCTAGAGCTATATTTTTATAGATCAATTGGCACAAGATGGGTGATGTGGTCAGCATCCTGCCAGCCGCCTTTACTTCCCGGGACTGCACCCGGTACCCACTCAAGACTGGGGCGACCTGGGAGTCAAGGTCATTTTTAACTGAGTTTTGGCTTCGAACTAATTCCCTTTGACTGCCATATACAGAAAGGAATCATACAGTTGAAAAATACAAGAAGGACATGTAGAGATAAGATGGCTTGCTTGGCATGTGCTGGCTAAGAGCCTATGCTCCACTGGCAGACAATGAAAAAAGAAGAAGAATAACAATGGATCACATACCTTTCAGATCCAATATGCAAATAAGACAAAAGACCAAGCAAGATAGTGGATCTAGTTTTAAAAGAAAGTGCTGCTGCAACTACATCGGCCATGCACTCAGAATGGACAAGACAAGACTGCCCCATCAAGCCATCGTGGACACCACTAGGGAACAGAAAACGGGGAAGACCAGGAGAGACCCTACAGAGAACCATCATCAGGGAAGGCTCAACCATGAACATCCAAGAACCAAAAACAGGTGGCAACGAACCGCCAGGTATTGAGACTATGACCTCTGCACTATGCACCGCCCTAGGCTCAGGAGGAAAGACTGACAACTGACTGACCGACTGACTGATTAACATACTAACTAACTATCATACCTTTCATGATTTCCTCAATAGCCATTTTCAAAGTGATGATTTCTCTGAAGGTCTTCTCATCCAGCGAGCGTGTGGCCTGATGAATGTTCAGTGTGCCATCAATAACTGCTGCCACGTCATTCTCTTCCAGAAATATCACCTGGTCTGTGTGCTCAATGATGGCACTGTCCACAACATGATGATGATGATAATAACAATATAAGAATAACAACAACAAAAATGGTAAACAAAAATACTATTAAAGGCAATCAAAATCGAATGAATCCATAATCAAATCATGACCAAACGGTGCAGCTAGGAGTGAACATGGTATCTGGCCAACACTCAACGAAAAGGCGGACATACAATCAGACTGGTACTATCAGATTTGGAGCTCTGCTGCCGGCTGCTGAAGATGGGGATGGACCACTTATGAGAATGTTCTAAGTGTTGTGATGTTGGTTCTTTACTGAACTCAACCAAATGGTGTGAAGACTGTCTCTCTGTGTGCATGCAAGTGTGGACATGTGTGTGTGGTGATTTGGGGGTCTGTCCACCCCCCGCCCCCCCCACACACACACACACACATGGGGTTCCTGGGATCCACATGGGAATACACCAGATAAATCAGATAAATGTCAGAACCGTCTGGGAAGTAATGGTGATTGAGACCACAGTGTGCTAAATGCCAAGACCCCAAACTCAACACTCCAATGGCAGTATCTGCTATGCAATTGCCTATACCCTCCAGAACTTTGCAATGTCTTGTAACAGGTTTCGTTTTATGTATATTTTGTAGCATTTGAGAACTCACAATTAGCTTTTCTGGCATTCCAGAACGCTGCAATATCTTATAACTGGCTTTTTCGTGGCGTTGCAGAATTCTGCAATGTTTTACAAATGGTTTTGTTTTTGAAATTATTATTCTAGAACTCTGAAATATCTTTTTTGTGGCATTACAGAATTCTGCAATGTTTTACAAATGGTTTTGTATTTCAAATTATTATTCTAGAACTCTGCAATGTTTTATAACTGGCTGTTGTGTCATTAAAGAACTGCTATGTCTTATAATAGATTTTTTCAGAAGTGTTCAAAGTAGTATCACCTGAAATCTAATGAAAAACAGTACTAAATTTCCTCGTCAGAACCAAGTGTGTGGAACTCTAACCTTGTCAATTCTGGTTTTTGATATTCCAGAACTATGTTTTATAACTGGATTTTCAAAAGCATTCCATGTCCAACCTGGCATCCAATGGAAAGAAAAAACTAACTGCTCATCAATTCTGCTTTTTGCTTTTTGTTGGTTTTCTTCTTCTTCTTCTTTTTTTTTTTTTTTTTTTTTTCTTCTTCTTCTTCTTCTTTTTCCTCTTCTTCTTCTTCTTCTTTTTTTTTTCTTCTTCTTCTTCTTTTTCTTCTTCTTCTTTTTTTTTTTTTCTTCTTCTTCTTCTTCTTCTTCTTCTTTTTCTTCTTCTTCTTCTTCTTCTTCTTCTTCTTTTTGTTTTTCTTCTTCTTCTTCTTCTTCTTCTTGTTCACCGGCTGTGAATTCCGGCAGAAAGTCCCAGTTGTTCGTCCAATTGGACTTTTGGCTTTTACCTTGACCTGAGTTTTGTGTGTACATCCGTTTTACTGGCTTATTTGTTTGCAGTTCTCATTCCTCGCCTCTCCGGCAGATGTACTCTGACTTCAAGGGATGCTGGTATTCAAGAACTTTGCAATGTTTCATAACTGGCTTCTCTACTGTCTTATAATTGATTTTTCAGATGTGTTCAAAGTATTACCTGGCATCCGATGCAAAAAAGTATTTCAGATGTGTTCAAAGTATTACCTGGCATCCGATGCAAAAAAGTATTCAATCTCCTTGTCAGAGCCTGCTGTGTGGAACTCAAGCTGCTCGTCAACTCTACGTCCTTGGCTGCTTCCTAGAAATCCTCTGTGGTCTGAAGAATGTAAGTACATAATGTTACCACAGAGCAGATGAACAGAATGTTATCACTGACTAGAATTATACTGTTAAACAGATATGGAGAATTGTGTAATTTGAACAGAGTTTACGAACACTATCACCAAAGAGAAGTACACAATTTTATAACTAATTATCTTGGCTATACTATGGGAAAACAAGAATAGACCCACTACCTCTCCAACATGCATGAAAGAGTAGACTAACTGGGGGCTTCCTTGGAAGTCAAAGTGCATCTGCCTGAGAGGCAAGGAACCAACAATCTGCATACATTTAAGTTAGATATGTTAAACGGATGTGCATGTAAAACTCAGGTTCTGGAAGAAGTCTCAAGTCCAGAGGTGGAAAAACAAACAGAATTTTCTGCCAGAGTTTTCAGCCAGTGAACGCAAAGAAGAGAATACAATCAACGAAAAGAAGTACACATTTTATAACTGACTAATTGTGGGTGTACTGTCTTGTCCAAACTATCTTTGTTTTACATGCAAGGATATGCTAGAATGAAAGGAAATGAAAAAATGATAGGCTGGCTGTGTCTGCCAATTTAGGAAAAAGTGTGGACAGGGCAGACATACTAACTGCGCTGCGTTCCAAGACACTGAAACAAAGGAGTCAGTGACATTGAGCCGTCTGCTGGAAATGGGTACTGAATGAGGACAGGTAAGCAGAAACTGGTTATTTGGGGGTGGGGGGGGGGGGGGGGTATGCCAATCAACGACTATGGGGTGTGGTGAGCATGGAGGCACGGAAATGGCTGTGGCATCGGAGGGTGAAGCCTGAATGGGTCGGACCACTGTGCTCAGATGTGGATACGGACAACAAGATTCATCCTTTTTTATCTCTCCCCTTCAGGATTGCAGCCTGAAAGACTGACAGCCAGTGATTCAGGGTCAATCTTATACTGGCACTCAGAGTCGATCTATTACTGACACCCAGTGTGATTTAGAGTCAAACTAATACTAACACCCCATGTGACTCAGAGTCAATCTCATTCTGAAACCCAGTGTGACTCAAAGTCAACCTAATAAAAGCACCCACAGACTCGGATTAAATCTTATACTGACACTAAGTGTGACTCAGAGTCAGTCAGTCTAATACTGACAACCAGTAACTCAGAGTCAATCTAAGACTGACACCGAGTGATTCAGAGCCAATCTGATACTGACACCCAGTGTGACTCAGAGTCAATCTTATACTGACACTGAGTGAGTCAGTCAATCTAATATTGACACTCAATGTGACTCAGAGACATCTAATGCTCACACCCAGTGACTCAGAGTCAATCTAATACTGAGACCCAGTGACTCAGAGTCAATCTAATACTGAGACCCAGTGACTCAGAGTCAATCTAATACTGAGACCCAGTGACTCAGAGTCAATCTAATACTGGCATACAGCCACTCAGTGAGTCAATCTAATACTGGCATACAGCCACTCAGTGAGTCAATCTACAGAAGGGAATCAAACAGGAGCAGATCCAAGAAACCCTGTTAAACTATAATTATAACAGTTACACTAGGGTGCCCCCGAGGGTACAAAGAAAACCCGCTGTCCAACATTTGTGGATAAGAGTGCCAACAACTGACTCATTGGACAGTGGTACAGTAGGCTATCATCTCTCTTGTCATGAAATATGATGACTGCTATATTCTTCTTCTTCTGCTCCCCTCCCCCCTCCTTACCTTTCCCCAGTGGAGCATCAACCCTCAACAAACTCAATCCAAAATCATCCCATCCTTTGTCTATCAAGGCAGGTTTTAAAAACTGACCCAGGCTCCCAGACGGACATAGACTAAAATGGGTACCATAAAATATCATGGGAAATAAAGGCAACCAGCATGGTAGTGACCACCTAATCCATCAAGTGCAAATTTGTTCTGTATAAATATAACTAGTTCTATGCAGGTCCAGTAGGTACCAGGTGTAGTCCTGGGAAGTAAAGACGGCTGACGTTGTTCTGACCACATCACACACCTATTGCTGATTGGTCTACAAAATATAGGTCCAGCCTTATACATCTGAAGGCGCGGAAAAGGGTCCTTTACGTTTTTACTATGAGCCTCATGCGTGAAATGGAACTTTACCCCCCGCCCCTCCCCCTTTTTTTTAATATAAAGAAAGACAATGTAACAATTCTTTCCAGAATTACAAAAGAAAAAGAAGAAATAGTTTTTAACTCTTTCAGTCCCCTGGGGTTTAGCATCAGAGACTCAAGGAGTCGTCAAGAGAGACGTAGAATCAGGGCATTTGCATTTACTGGGCTTATATGTCAGAATCTATGAACGTATGACACGTTCCTTGGGACCGAAAGAGGTGAGTATGTTGGTGATGAAATGCCAGGCATTCAGCATCTCTTTCATAGGAATTAAATTCATCTCGCCTCTGACCTACCTGTCCGTAAAATGTAAAATATTTGAGATCTAACTTTATACACTCATTTCTCTAAAGAGGTTACCTTCTCTTCTCCTCCATCTGCCTTCTCTTCTCCTTCATCTGCCTTCTCTTCTCATTTTCTGCCTTCTCTTCTCCTTCTTCTGCCTTCTGTCCCCCAGTGGAGCACAGGCCCTCAACCCACTCATGTCAAGTCGTTCTATTCTTCGCTATTCCAACTGACAGCTAATTTGTAAGGTTGAAAGGAGAACAGGATCTGTTTTCACTGACTTTATACCAAATCACAATTCCTTCCAAGTCAGAGTGCATCTATCTGAGAGGTAAGAAACCAACAGCCTGCACACAAAGAAGCTAGATGTGTAAAACAGATGTGCATGAAAAAAAATAGTTCTGGAACAAGCTCAAAACCCAGATGTGGACGAACAACTAGAACTTTCCGCCAGAGTACAGCCGGTGAACTCTAAGAAAAAGAAGCAGAAGAAGAAGAAGAGGAATGGAGGAGTAAGAGGAGGAGAAGAAGAAGTAGAAGGAGGAAGGAGGATGAGGAACACAATGTGTAACCTTTAATGTAGCAGACATAACAAATGTCTGAGGTCCGACCATCAGGCGCTACACCAGGCATTCATGCAAAAGTGACCTTGACATTTCTGCTCACACATCTACCATGCTTGTTCACAACATCAAAATATCACACCCGTCACCAGTTGGACATGCTAGCTGTCATCTGTCATTTGTTCAATTAGTAAAAACATTCTCACTTTGACCTCTAACAAGCATGTCCTAAAAGGTTACAAAATAGGAGATGGGCCTGGCCAAAAGGTGCAGATAACGCTGCCTAACCGCAAACTACAAAACGATGCACCAGCTGGCCTTTTGAGGATAAATGAAGAAGAGGAAAAATTGCTGCTGCTTTGGGGTTTTACAAAGCATTTTACATTCAGTAGATTGCTGGTACTTTCTCCATGGTACGACGCTCATACTGCCAAACTCAATGCAAAGCTGTCTGCTGCTGCTGCTACTGCTACCAAACTGCCTGCAGTTGACCTAGAATGCAAGTATACTGGGACTGTGATACTTTATTCACAGCCCTTAAGCCATAGATACCTACCCAGAGTTTCTATGCTTCTTGATGATGTGTTAGTTTATTGTGATTAGTGGTTTGTTATTCGCTCTGCAATAAAAGATCATCGTGCATCTAGCAGTTAGTTAGTCTTTCCTCTTGAGCCTAGGGCGGCATATAGGGACAGGGGTCATAGCTCTCCATGTCTGGCGGTTCGGTGCCACCTGTTTTAGGTCGTGGGTGTTCATTAGGCCCATGGTTGAGCCTTCCCTGATGATGGTTCTACGTAGAGTCTCTCTTGATCATCCGCGTTTTCTGTTCCCTTCTGGTATCCAGATGAGGGCTTGAAGGAGAAGTCTGGCAGTGCTAGACCTACATCCATATAGATAAACTGGCACTTGATATGTGATGTTGTCCACATCATGCCGACCGCCTTTACTTCTCAGGACTTCACCTGATACCTATTTCATTATTAATTAAACTTTTTCTGATCCATGTAATAATTCTGAAAAAAAAGGTCTGCTCCTAAAATTTTATATTTGCTTTATGTTAACTTTAGTATTTACATTTTTTTTTTTAGTGTGTTTGTTTTTGTTTTGTTTGAAAAAACATTTAATGTTTTTTTTTTCTGTTGCCCCAAGCATTTAATATTTGTTTTTATTTTCTGTCAACTCTAGCATTTAATATGATTTTTTTTCTGTTCACTCAAAAACTGAATGTTTTTAAAAATGTTAACTCAAGTATCTAATGTTTCCTTTTTGTGTGTCTGTTAACTCTAGTATTTAATGTCAACGTTTTTGTTAACTGAAGCATTTAATGCTTGCTCTTTTTGTTAACTCAAGTATTTAATATTTAGAAAATCAAAGCAGTATTCCTCTGTGTTAATGTTCGAGGGCGGCTAATTTTGTACTTCCGCTGTAAGGGATTCATGTATTAGCTTCTTGTAATTAATTGTTACTGTATTTTTCATCTGACGAGACACCGCAGGATATGCTGGACAGCCAATTGTACAATCTATTATTTGTATCTTCTTCACTCAAATCTGGTGTTGGCTTTTTAACCCAAAAAAATTAACTAAAGTCTGATCAAGACCTGGCTCTAGGAAATGGAGGTATAAAAATCTGAAGCTGGAGACACAAAAACAGATAAATACAACTTGGCAATAAAAGAAATAGTAAAATGGGATAAAATATATGTATAAAAGCAATTGGGTGAGGTGGGGGGCGTGGTAGTGTAATGGCTAAATGTTCTGCCTGTATGTCTGAAGGTATTAGGTTTGAATCTGCTGTGGGTGGGATATTCTTCAAAAGTGACGCTGACTGCCAAGTCAATATAGTCTAAAATGGGTATTGGGTAAAGTCCTAGGAAGTAAAGGTGGCTGGCATCCTGCTGACCACATTAGAGGTCTAGGACAGTGGTCAGCAAATCGTGGCTCGAGAGCTGCATGCGACGCTTTAGCAACTTGAGTGCGGCTCGGCCAGTCAGCCACAAATCGGTTTTGACTATGGAAAATGTGGTTCTTTAAG